TAACATTTTCGTTAAGAATGTGAATAAAATTATAAATTCACTCCTTTCTCTCCTCAATTAAACTTCCTTCTTCCCTTGCACTCCTATCCCAAACCCGTCACTGAGTTTCTAGCTTTGAACCAAAAACCAAAATTATCACTCTTCTATCAATTGTTTATCTAACTGGATGAATGATCATTTAAATTTTGGATTTAAGAGCTTAAATTCAGTGACGAGTTTGAGAAAGAGTATGAAAAGATAGAGGAAGCTTAATTGAGGAGAGAGAAGTATAAATATACAATTTTGTCCACGTTCTTAACGGAATTATTAACAAAGGACCATTCGTGGAAATGAATATACTAATTGGGGACTAAATTAGTAATATTTGATATGTAGGGACTAAATATGTAAAACGACCTATAATTGGAGACGTTTTATGGAATTTACTCTTTTTGTTTTTGGTATCATCTAATAGACGTTGGTGAAAAACCAGTTTACTCCTTGGTTGGTTCCGCCGTCTGAAACAGGCAAATTCTGCAAGCAAAATAGCTTAGCTAATTTGAACCAGTGGCCAAACCACTAGATTTAACCACTTTGGAATCCAAATCTCACTTACGAAAACTATGGAATCAAGTCCCTCTTCCAATTAGTACAATTAATCACAATTAGATTATAAACTCTACAAACAGATTTTCCACATTTCGAAAATTGATGTATAATATCAAATTTTTTAAAATTATTTTATTTAAATATTGGTATAGAAAAAAAATAAAATCTACATATCTAAGAATTACATGAATCAGATATATCAAAAATATTTTATTCTAACAAATAATCAATAAAAGCATAGAGATAAACAAAATATTATATGATTGTTGAAAAAAGAAATGTGACAAACTTTTGAGACTGAGTTAGTATCATTTTTAAAATCATTCTACTTGAAAATTAGTCAAAAACAAAAAAAAATTGCACAATTTTAAAGTGCACAAAAGGTCTGTTGTTTAGTACACAAAATTGATGAAATAGAAAATGAATTAAAAGTTAAAATTCTATCAAATTAATTTGAATGTGATTGAATTCTACAATTCCTATAAATTTTTGACACTACCAATAACAAATCCAGATATTTTTGTGATACCAAATGACAAAATTAGAATTATTGTCTTTGATTCCACAATTCTAATAAATTTTGGAATTGTGATACCAAACGGCAAAATTAGAATTGTCATGAAATTAATTTCTACAATTACAATAAGTTTTTGGCACTATCAATTACAAATCCACATATTTTGGTGATACCAAACTGCAAAATTAGAATTGTTGTCTTCCATTCCAATTCTATAATTTGAATTCCATGTGCCGAGCAAAATAAAGCCCTGATTTTTTTTATGTAACCCTATAACATTGAAGCCATATCCATAGAGTTGATGGGAGGAGAAGGCTCAAGCAGAGATGGGTTATTTCACTTGCTATATGCACTCATAAAAGTCTTTGGAATCATTCATTCTCTTCATCCAAAGATGATCTAAGTGCGACCCAAACAAAGACCACAACCCGACCCATTCAATCACTATTTCAAAATAAAATATATATACACAGGAACAAAATTATGTTTAATTTTCTGGAAAACTTACTGATTGAAGATGATGGAGAAATATGACGCTCTAGCATGCCGACTTTTTATATCGAACTGGACAGATTGATTAGGGTTTTGTGGGCGTGCTTTTTTGAAATTGGGCTTCTTCTCCCTTGATGGATTCGTTGGTTCAATCAAAGTGGGGTGATTAGATTTATATATTTTTTGGTCCTACTCAAATTAGCACATTTTATTTTTAGTCCTTCTAGTTTTTTTTGGAAAAAAGTTATATTATTACTCCAAGAAATTTTCTATTTTAAGTCATTACTCTCAAATTTAATAAATGACACTATTAATTTAACATATTTTTATGGTAATTCATTCCAAATTTTTTCTTACTTCTTTCAGAACAAAGCACATGATATTAAGCATCAAAGAGTTTGAATACAAATCCACGCCCTACTTACTGCTTCCCCAGGGCTGTCCCGGACATCCAATGGGCCCTGAGCGAAAAATACGGTGTGGGCCTTTAATTCATTAATCCATTTTTTTTACGCTTTTTAGATTTCACAATGAAATTCAATTATGGGGTTCATGTATTTTGACTTTTTTTAGTTGAAATGGTCACATTTTAAACATTAAATTAATAAAAACAATATTATGTATACATTTTAAGTGATTTTATTAAATTTATCTTGTAAAAAAATTACATAGTTTTATTTTATTGTATTAGCATACAATACAAAATAAGAATAATTGATTATTGAAATTTACAGTTGCTATTATTACTCAAAAAATTAAACTAAAACTATACAAAAAAGGAATGTAAGACTTTTCTACAATTCTTGTTTATATTATCACAATTTTCAAACATCCATCAACATCAACTTAAAAGTTGCAGCACAATACATCATGAGTAAAATTGGGAATAAAAAATTTAATTTCAATATTAACAAAACACTCAGTTTTTTTTAAAACAGACTTTAGATATGGGAATATGGTGATGGATCACTGAAACTAAAAGCCAATTGCAGAAGATGTGGAAACAAAGCAGATGGAAGAACAAAGAAAATCATTTCTTAGTACTGTAAATCAAGTAATGAGTGAACTATAACTATTCTTAATCGCCATCACAATAGTAGCTTTCATGGTTCCACAATATACTTTTTGGTGACTTCCATTTTGGTATGAATTTTGAAGTCTCTAACCTTTTACAAGAAATAACAGCATGTTACTATATGTGTCTTTATTTTTCCCCATCCTCATTTTTGCCCCAACTCAGCCATGGAGCTAGATGAAATGTCATGCTCTATCCATTTAGAAATAATCTCATGTATTGATTTTGCATATGAGCAAGAGCAGAACAAATAATCACCTGTTTCCACTCCCTTATCACACAACACACAGTTAGTATCAATTGTTATAAATCTACACAGTCTATCCTTAGTGAGCTTTTACATTTCTTGATTAACCAAGCTATGAAGCGTTGTTTAGGAATGGACCATTTGTTCCATACCAAATCAGCCCAAAACACAATCATATATGTGCCACATAAGCTTCACAACATAAGTCTGATTTCACATTAGCAACTTCTTCAATCCCAATCTACTTTCTTGTTTAGGGAGGCAAACATCTTCCCCTTTGATAAGGGGGCTTTTATTATACTCAGGTGTAGAGCTCCAAAGAAAATATTTTTCGTATTTCTTTAAATTTTATCCAATTTTATCAACTCCTATAGTTTTTCTAATTTTTTGAGTTTTTTTAAAAATATTTCAAACTACTTTCGATTTCTTTAACTTTTTCCAACTCCTTGTTTTTTCCAACCCTTTCTAATTTCTTCCAACATTCAGTTATATTTTTACAATTGAAACGAATAAAGCCTAAGAGAGTGTTTTTTGTGCTGGTGCTTGTTAACTTAATGGTAAAAAACAATTTTAACTTATACGTAGTAAGCTATTTATAAGATAAACATTTTTCATCGATGTACTTAAATAATACATGTGAATGGTCATAAATGGTGATTAGAATGAAAAAAAGAAAAAAAATGTGATTTTAAAATAAGCAAGTAAAACTTACTTGATTTTGTTGGGTTAGAAGCAGCTTATAAATATTGAATAAACATGTCACCAAATGGCTTATATGTTAAACTTTCTTATAAGTAGTAAAGAAATGACCATGAATATGAGTAAAACATAAATAAAATATTAAAATAGGAGTTTCATATTTTAATCACAAAATAAGTATTTACATTGTAGTAATATGATAGTGCATATGGATATTTAATTTTACAATACTTTTTGGTAATATATATGGACATGATTGACACTGTATATATACATTTTAACTCTCATTTTAATGAAAAAATATGATACTTCTATTTTGATTTATTTTCAATATTTTATTTTTATTTTAATATTCTACTCCAACATTGTTGTAATAGTTTATTGTAAAAAGGAGTATATAAGGAAACACATGATTTAGGCTCCGTTCCGTTCAACTTATTTTTTCTGATCTGATCTGATTTTAATAAGTTCTGATCTGATCTGATCTGATCTGATTGGATCTGATCTGATCTGATCTGATTAGGTCTGATCTGATCTGATTAATTATGATTTAATTTAAAATTTCAAATTAATAATTTGATTTGACTTTATAATAACGTTTGAAAATTGTAATGATAATTCATAGTATAATATAATCAATATATTTTATTTAATAATTATTTTTTAATAAAATAAAAATAGTTAATTCATATATTAGAATAATCATTCATATTATAATGTAATAATATTTTTATTTTATGATTATTTTTTATATTAGAATATTAATTTAATATTTTAATAATTACTTCATATATACATTAGAATAAATATTTAATTTAGATATACATTAAAAAGTAATTAAATTTAGATAATCAATATATAGAAGAGATAGTATTTTTTTTTAAAATATCTCATCCTTATAAAAGATCAAAACTTTAGAAACTCAAATTACAAGTAGCAATAAAAATATATTTTAAAAGTAGAATTAGATTGACACTGTTAATGTATTTTAAAACTAATTTTTCCGACGTCTAATAATTAAGGATTACTTTCTAAGTTTTCTATTTAACCTATTTCTAAAGTTTATACTTTTTCATTTTTAAGAACAACAACAACAACAACAATAATAATAATAATAATAATAATATTAATATTAATAATAATAATAATAATAATAAAAATAATTCTTGATGGGATCTGATTTTTATAAGTTCTGATCTGATCTGATTGGGTCTGATCTGATCTGATTGGATCTGATCTGATTTGATCTGATCTGATTCAATCTGATCTGATCTGATTCGATCTAATCTGATCTGATTTGGTCTGATCTGATCTGGTTCTAATAAGAATAAGAAAAAATAAGAAAAAATAAGTTGACTATGGGCCTTAGAAGTGAGTCGGGATGGAGAAGAGAGGAAAGATAAGGACATGGCGATGAAGATGGAGGGAGCTTTGCCATATGTGGGAATGATTTCAAACCAGTTCGCTCAAGTAGGGTTGATGATTGTAGGCAAAGCCGCCATGTCCAGCGGAATGACCAATTTCACCTTCGTCTTCTACTCCAATCTTCTGGCTGCCCTCCTGCTCTTCCTCCCTGCTTTCCTCTTCCAAGGGTATATATATGCTACTTCATTCTTAACATTCTTTAACCCATTTCAAATCTTTGACGCCATTTTATTAGTGTAACAGGCCCCTTCTTTTGGTGCTTTTGTAATAGTGTTTTTGTTTATTTTTTTTCAGGTCAACTCGCCCACCTCTCTCCTTTTCACTCATCTGTGGGTTTTTCTTGCTTGGAATTCTTGGGTATGCTATCTGATTGTGTCACAATTAATTAATTGTTATTAGAGTAAATTCCATAAAAGGTTTTGTTGGCTAAAATCCACCATTGGTCCTTCAACTTTATCAGTTATGCACGATTGGTCCTTCAAGTTTCAAAAGTCCATAAATAGTTCTTCAACTTTATGAGTTCTGCACCATTGATCCTTCAAGTTTTAAAAGTCCATAAGTAGTCCTTCAGGTACACGTCAGCCCTCCATATGAAGTCCTTTTAACCGTAAATATTAAAAGTTAAACGAAATACTAGTTTCATGTAAATTCCATTAGGTACGACTATTCCGTATTATATGGAGCTAGTATTCCATTTAGCATTTAACATTTACTGTCAAAAGGATCTCATCTGGAGGGCTGACGTATACTTGAAGGACTATTTATGCACTTTTAAAACTTGAAGGACCAATCGTGCATAACTCATAAAGTTGAAGGACTATTTATGGACTTTTAAAACTTGAAGGACCAATCGTGCACAATTGATAAAGTTGAAGGACCAATGGTGGAGTTTAGCCTAGTTTGTTTTACATATTTAGTCCCTTACATATCAAATATCAATAATATAGTCCCCAATTATTAAATTGTTTTCTACGAATGGTCCTTTGTTAACATTTCCGTTAAGAACGTAGATAATATTGTAAATTCACACTCCTCTCTCCTGAATTAAGCTTCCTCCATCCCCTCGCACTCCTTTCCCAAACCCGTCACTCTGTTTGAAGCTTTGAACCCATAATTGAAATCATTTCTCCTCTCTCAATTTTTCGTCTTCCTGGTGGAACCCAAAATCGAAACCAGTAACCTTCATCGAATGAGTTTTAAGGTTTGTTTTCTTTGCAATATCCTAAGACTAACTCATAAAAGTCATCCATGAAGGTTATTGATTTTGATTTTTGGGTTACATCAGGAAGATGAACAATTGAGAGAGAAGTGATCGTTTCGTTTTGGGTTCAGAGCTTCAAACTCAGCGACGGGTTTGGGAAGAAGGGGGAAACTTAATTGAGGAGGGAGAGAAGTGTGAATATACACTTTTTTCGATGTTCTTAACACAAATGTTAACAAAAGACTATTTGTGGAAAGTAATATAATAATTAGGGACTAAATTATTGATATTTGATATGTAGGGACTAAATATGTAAAAAAACTTATAACTGGGGACCATTTATAGAATTTACTCTTGTTATTATTATAATTATTACTGTTCTTGTTGCCATTATTATTATTATTATTATTATTTGAACACTAATAGCTCTATTATAATGTAGTATTTGTTCATACAATCTCAACCTATTAAAGCACAGACTTCCACCCACTAGGGTTTGAACTTGTGACCTCCCTTGTGGAAGGGTCATTGTGATGCCGATTACTATTATTGTTATTATTATTGTTGTTGTTGTTGTTGTTATTATTATTATTTCTATTGTAATCATTATTACTATTATTATTATTATTAGAGTAAATTCTATGTATAGTGTTTTATAACAAGGAATTTTCTATATTTAGTCCTCAATTCTAAGACATTATGTTCGTGGTCCACTATTCCATGATCAGTTTTTGGAGGAAAAATTCCCAAATACCCCACATATAGTCCACAAAGGACTGATAATGGAATAATTCTCAAATATAGGGGGCCACAAACATAATATCTTGAGGATGATATGTGGAACACCTCCTGTTATAAAGGTAGAATTTACTCTTATTATTATTTGCAATAGTGGAAATATTGGGCTTAATTAGTTTTGATATTTTGGCAGATTCTAGCTAGAACCAGTTGCTTATTTTGTTCATCAGAATGGCAGAAACTGAATTTAAAATCAATAAACTGTTTATTTCTAGCATTAAGAATATCAACTATCATTCTCTGGAATCAGCAACAGAATACCAACTCGAAGAATGAGAATCGCCCAAAAGCAGAATAAAAACCAAATGAGTCCATTGTGTAATGTTTTTTTCCCTTTTCGATCTGCTACGGTAAACGCTTAATCTTGAGCTTGTTGGTCTGCTCATGTTTTGTAGATGCACAGCACAACTTACTGGGTATACTGGAATTAACTACACTTCAGCATCTTTTGCCTCTGCAATGCTCAACCTGATTCCAGGTTTTACTTTTCTACTTGCCATCACTTTCAGGTTTTTACTCCGTTCCTCTCCTTGCTACTTATTCGATATCGACTGGCTCATAACTGTGGTAGAGTGGTATTCCTTTGTCTTACAGCCCTTTATATGTTTAGATGTTTAGTTTCATTGACATAAGCTGAAAAGTCCCATTGCAGATTGATTTTGTTGAATTATGCTTTTTTAAACCAAGGGACTAAGAAGAAAATAGTGTATTTGTGTACAAGTAAAAAGAAAAGGTTAGTATGCATGCAAGTAAATAAATAATGGGACAAGTAGTTTTTGTTGGATATCGTAGTATGAGAGAAAAACAATCAATGTGGTAGGAAAGTATTGGAGCGCAAGAACAATCAAGGGTGGCAGAGTATCTCGGTGGAGAATGGCAATGCTTGCGACATCAAAAGTTGTATGAATTATAAACGAGTTTAATTTCACCCTTATATAGTTGTCTTACACTATGTTTGGTTCAAGGAATTTGGAAGGAAAAGAAAAGAAAATGATTTTCTCCCATTTTCCTCATCAAAATGGGAGGAATTTGGTTTTCCCTCCTCTTAGAACATTGTGCCTTCTTATTTTATTCTCCTTCCACTTTTCCTCTCTAACCAAACAAGAAAAACTGTTTTCCACTTCTTTTTGTTTTCTTTTTCTCTTTCAAATTCCTTGAACCAAACTTAGTGTTAGGGTCTCAACAAATTGAAAATAGACTTTAGAACTAACAAGCCTCAAAGCTTGTGAATGTAAAACAAGCGCATCAATGAGAAGTATACTCATGTGTTTAATACAATTTGCAAGGGAATGAAATGCTGGAATTTTTTTGTTAAAAAAATGCTTGGGTGTTTGTTTTTGGCCATGACAGGCCTATTCATAATATCCAAGACATCTCTCGATACTTGTTGATAGTAGCCATACACTAGAGTGTGCCTTTTGAATAGAAAGATGAATTTTTTAATTCAAACCATTCTGAACTAGTGCTTGCTTGTGTGATTAATGTAGCATGTTAATATGTTTTTACATTTCATCCATTGTATTTGAAAAATTCTAAACATTTCCTTTTCTGTGTGTGCAATCTATTATGGGCTGATTTTCTTAAATGTCTTCTCCTTTGTTTAACTACTGAACAAAACCCGTTCTGGACGAATGTTCATCCTGGACCGATCCATCTGCACTTTATTTTATCAACGCCAACTTTACTTTCTTATTAACCAAAATCCCAAAAATTGTCTTTTATGATGGGCAATGCATATAAGCTCAACTCTGATGGAAATGGAGCCTACTCAACTAGTATGAATGAAAATAGAATTGGTTATTTATTTCTCCATTTGTCTCTGAAAAGAGTCCAATTTAAATAATAACAAAAACTGTCCTAAAACAATCAACCAATAAGCTGAATAGATTTAAGAGGACCCATTACTTATTGAGTTGTACCTCACTTCAAATCAAAAGTTGTTTGGTCAAACATTTTTTATGGCTATAGGTAGTATGAATTCAATCCGAAGATGTTAATAAATTGGAAATTTTGAAGATTTTTGTAAATTTTTGAAGTACTAGATAAAAATGATCCCTAAAACTAAAAGGTGGTGCGAACAGTATGGTAAAAAACTTAAACTATATTGGCAATACTCCCTCTATCCCATAAAAAGGTTCCACTTTTCTTTCTTCGTTTGTCCCAAGATAAGGTTCAATTTTCCATTTAAGGAAAAAAAATCTGTGACATTATTTCTCTCTTTTGCATCATTTTCAACCACACAGTTTGACTTTTCTTAATAATCATGGCTATTCCATTGTGGAACCTTTTTGTGGGACGAAGGGACTAGGAGTGTAATGGTAAACCTTAGTTAAGGGTTTGGAAAAGAAGAATTATGTCTCTAAGAATCGAATTGACAAGTGTGCTACTTGCAAAACCATATATCTATAACCTGAGAAACTAGAGAAGTGAAAAGAGCTGACAATGCTTTCATACGTGGTTGTTTTAGAATGGAGAAACTGGATCTTGCCAGCTCAAGTACCATGGCAAAAGGTATCGGGACAATTGTCTCAATTATTGGAGCATTTATTGCTACTCTCTGTAAGGGACCACAAAATTTGACAATGTCAGCATCTACAAGGTCCAACTTTCGTCATCTATATTTACCCCAATTAGACTTGACCTGGATTATTGGAGCAGCATTCCTATTAGTTGACTGCTTGGCTTCGTCTGCTTTTCTAGTTGCACAGGTAAATTAGTGTGTGAAACTCTTTACTAATTGGATATGCAGAGACTATTTTATCGAGACATTATGAATTTCATATTTGAAAACTGCTTTTCACATTAAATTTATTTTCTCTACAGGCATCCATTCTTAAGATTTACCCAGTAGAGCTGGTCGTGGTCTTCTTTTACTTCCTCTTTACGGCCATTCTCTCTGCACTTGTTTCGCTAATTGTGGACAGGGACATCAATGCTTGGATGCTAACACCTGATATGAGGTGGCTTGCTGTCATATACTCGGTCAGCTCTTTTTGTTTCTCTCTAGTCTCTTGAGTACAAAGCTCTTTTTACTCGATGCTTTTCCTTCTTTTTTAGCTTAATCTAAAGCATCTACTATTTTAACTGTCTTTGTTTTCATGTTATTAGGCATATAAATTGTTTATTATTTCTTGAGTACAAGTTCAATAATCCTTCCTTGAATTCCTGAGTTGCGAATCCATAGATGTGTTTGATCACGATGTTTAAAAAATGAAAATCTTGATTTCAAAGTTTTAAATCAAGAATGTTTCTTGTGTTCATTCAACTTATATTTCATCTTTCTGCTTAATAGGGGGTTTTTGGCTCTGCATTCCAAGTCAGTGTAGTTGTCTGGTGCATACGCAAGAAAGGGCCTCTTTTTGTTGCTGTGTTTCATCCATTAGGGATTGTAATTGCTGCTGCGCTGGGCATCATTTTTTTAGGGGACATTTTCTATGTTGGAAGGTACTGACAATCAATCCTCTTCGTATAGGAAAGCTGCTCCATACCGATCAAACTTGGGAAACAGGCTTTTTATTTTGTTATTTTCCCCCCTTTGCATGATTGTGCTCTCGTGCATTACTTTATCTGCTATTTACTAATAGTTATAAGTTTAAAACTTATTGTAGTTTGGTGGGATGGACTATAATTGTTATCGGATTCTACTGTGTGATGTGGGGAAAATCAAAGGAAATGAGGGTGGCCAATGACAACTTGGCAGTAAACATTGAGTCCCGAGGTGATAAGGCTCCTCTACTAGAAAATGGAGATGGGGAGGCTGAAATTTAATGCCAAAGATCAGCAGACATGTCTGACACAACTTACAGCGCAGGTATGTTTTTCTTAAATATGCAGGGACTATTGCATATTTAAGGTTCATTGTGTCTTTTGATCCCTATACCCTACTCTTCTGGGATGCAACTGGGTTGTTGTTTCTTTTTATCATGGATGCGTAGCCGAGAGTAAAGGGATACTTTAGAGTGAAGGGATACTTTAGAATATAAAAATCCTTCCTGGGCCTACAACCGCGAGTTTGAGCTTTTGGTTGAGTTGGTTTCTTAACATATACGATAAATCAATAAGCACAAACTTTTTGTTTCACCCTATCTTTTTGCATCTTTGGTTCACTCTGACTTATCATGGATGACAGACAGTGCTTTGTTAGGCCCATGGAAGCTCAATTGCATAATAATACTTACACTCCACCGTATAAAACAAAGTTAGCATTATATATTCATAATAATAACGCTAACATAAATGTGAATGCTACTATTTGTTATGTCAAGGAGTAAATTAGTCTACGTTCCAACATTTCAACCAGGAATTACCAATCAAAAGTTGGTAATTCCTCGAACTCTAATTATGAGCTTAAACTTTTAGTTGAGTTGGTTTTTTTTGAAAACAGTATTTAAAATGTGAACAAAACAGAGGTGATTGATGACTTACTATGTCTGCTTCTGTACTATTTTTGTTTTAAAAAAAATACTTTTTAAATAAGTAAATTTTATTTTTTATTTAAAGACACAACTCAAGTAAATTAAGTTAAATTATAAATTTAGTCAAACATCAATTCTTTTATTTACAAAAAGAGAAAATGTTATTTTATTTACTTATATACGTAGTATTAGTTTTTGTAATTCAATTCCACAACGTATATATATACATATACATACATACATACATACATATACATATATATATATATATATATATATATTTATATTTATTTATTTATATTTAATTATTTATTAAAAATGTTTGAACCACTGGTTCAACCACTCGAACCACTGGTTCGACCAGTAAACCAGTGAACCAGTGCCTTGACCGGTTCGATCACCGGTTCGGTTCTGAAAACTATGACCGAAACGTCTTTTGAGTAGAGATAAGGTCTGCATACATACGTCTTGAGACCCTACTTTTGTGGGATTTTACTGGTTTGTTGTATTGAAACGTAGCCTCC